ATTAAAGCAACAGATGCTTTTTTATTAAAACTATAAAAAATAATGAAATTTTAATAAATATATAATCATGAACAAAATCGAAAATAATTTACTGTATTGGAACTTAAAGCTTTTTATATAAAATTTCCTATAAAAATTTTAAATATATTTTAAAATAAAAACAACAATGTAAAATTTAAAATTAAATCATAATGATTATATATAGACATATAACTACAGTAATTAAAAAAACTAAAACTTTTTTAAACTAAATTCAATCATTGTTTTTTATATAACAAAAGAGTTTTGATAATAAAGTAATAAAACATTTTAAATTATCAATATTTAGACTAAATATATTTTATTTGGTTTATTACCAAAAATATTAATAAATTTTATAACAAAGAATATTTAAAATTTAGCATTAATATTTAAAAAATTAATCTTTTATTCCACATGTTTTTATTTTAAATAATGAACTCTTTTACAGATCTAATCTATTATTTAATTTTTAAAAAGTAAGGTAAAAACATTAAATGAAATAGTATTTCAAATGAAAAAATTTTTTAACATTTAATATACTTACTTCATTATTTCATTTTAATGTAAAATAATATATGAAGAACGATTAAATATTAAAAAATTGATAAAAAAGTTATAATAAAATTTAAATGCTAAGTGTAATATCATCAAAAAATAGGAATTTTCAATAGTAGATATTAAAGGAAAATTTTTTAGATTTTAAACAAAATTATTGGTGACAAATAAATGCTTACCATGTTAAAGTTACATAATTCTTGTATGATACTTACTTCTTATAAGTTTTAACTCATTTATAAACTTAAATCAAAAGGTAAAAATTTAAAAAAATTTTTTCCTTCAAATGAATGTAAAGATGTGGTTTTAACTAAAAACTTTTTTCACATTAAGTTATTTGAAGTAATTTAAAACATGAATAAATTATAAAAATTTGAGACTAGTTTATGAAACATTTACTTATAAGAAAATTTTGTTTCTGAATGAAAGTTAATATAAGGTTCAAGAGAATATTTTATTCTTGAGAAGAATCTCATAAAATTTTTTGTTGAAATTAAAAAAAACTTAAGAAAAAGATTTGATAGTCATGAATTTAAAAACAAAAAAGTTTTTTGAGATTAAAATCAAAAGTAAAGAACAAACTTTAATTTGAATTGTTTTATTTTCACAATTTTGAACCTTTGATCATTTTGCTTATAAACTTATATTTCAACCTCTTTAAAATTTTCTAGTCTAAAAATAAAAAATTTAAACATAATTAGTATAATACTATAAAACGAATTAAAGATGTAGTATCGACTATAAGAAATAATGTTTTTGTTTCATTTTGTAAAAAAATAAAGTGTATGTAACAGAATCTATATTAAAAGCAAAAGTTGAGTATGTAAAATATTAATTTTTAATTTTTTTTGTTTTAATAAAAACATTTATAAACGTTTTTAAATTATATTCTCAAAATAATATATTTTTTACTTAAAAATGATTAAAAATTTCATTCTGTGGGTGATATAAGATAAAAAACAAAAAGTTTCATCATTTAGTTGTTAAATACAAAATTATAATAAACCACATTCATTTATCCAAAACTTAATATTAAAAACTATAATCATCTTTTTAAGATATAAAAAAATACATAAATTATAAAATGTTGTAATAAAAATTATAATACTTTTACTATGTACTTGCCAATAAACACTAGTTAACTTTTTATTAAATTTATTTTATTCTGCAAACTATACCATTATATACTAAAACGACTTCAAACTTGTATTCATATATAAATATATTCTATACTAAATTTTAAAAAAGATTTATAAACTAAATTTTTAATTTTCTTATTATTAACTATCAAAATATAAGATTAAGAATCCGATTCACTTTAATAAAGTAGTTTGATGCAAACTAATAAATTTTTTAAACAAAAAAAGGAACCCGATAAAATGATATATTTAATAAATATTAATAATTTAAACTATCTGATGTTTTATTTACATTGTCCAAAATTTCGTTGTTTATTATTTTTCAAAGATTTTCTTCCAACTTTTATATTATTAAAGCAAATTTATGCTTAAAAATAATTTTAAAAAATCGTTGTTTGATTGATTTGTAAATAGATATTAAACTAAGATTTAAACATTTTTGATCATCATATTTATGAAATCGTAATTCAAACTAAGATGTAAATAGTCAAAACATAAAAAATATACAATACTTAAATTATATTGTTAATTTTTTTAAAAAAATATGATTCTAAAGCTTTAATTGCTTTTATTTAAGTTAAACTGGAAGTATAAACTTTATACTAGCAATGTTTTAGACAATTTACTTAATTCATGTGATTTAAATAAAACATTTAGTTTCTGCTTTTCATAGTGAAACCATTGTTTTTAAATTAAAGAATAAAGAAATTGATTGTACTTTAATAACTTTATCATATATTTAATTTTTTTATTTCTTTAAAACAACTTGATTCTTTCTTTAATTTTGAAATATTAAAGAGTTTTTTATACCAATTGTTGGTAGTATGATAATATCTATTTTATTTTACCCTTTGAAAAATAAAGTTTAAAAATAAACTTAATCAAATTATTTAAATAAATATTACCATATAGACTAAAATTTAGTTTTAAATCACATTCTTTGTAAATAAAATATATTTAATATTATTTATTGAAAAGATTAACAATATTAAATAAAATTTTTAAATATTTAAAACTAATAAATATAGACTAAGAACACCTTTATTGTAGATAATATAAAATGTTTTATTTATTAATATTAATTAAGGCTTTTAAAGAAAAATTTTTAAAACCCGGTTTAAAATTAAATTAAATAAAATTATTTAATTGTTATACTTTAAAATTTCTAAAAATACATCAGAATTTTTTAAAATCAAATATTTGTTACTAAAAATTAAAGAAAAAAATTTCTGATGCATCTGCTTTTTCATAGAAAAATTTTAGTTTAAAATATACGGAGGCGGTCAAAAAAACACAAATGATAAAAAGTTATATAAAAATATTACTTAAGAATCGATTTTCTTTTATATATCAGTAATGTTGTTATATAAATAAATAGTTTTATTTTAAGAGAACTGTTATTTACGATTAATAAACCAATAAAATTATAAACAACTGGTTAAAAAATTTGCAACTCAGAATTTAAAAAGTTTTCCCTCTAAATTTAATAATCTAATATTATTTTTTCCCTTTAAATAACAAGAAATTTATCACATAACAATAAAATACAAATTATTACATCATATCAAGAGGGTTATTTAAAAGTTCAAATAGTAGAAAATTTTAATGTTAGTAAATGTACAATATAAAGATTGATATCTAAATTTAATAAAAATACTGTTTTACGTAAAAGAAATGTGGAAGAGCAAAATATACTAGATAAAAGTGGTATAAAATTTTAAAAATACAATATTAATTTTAAAATAGGATCCACAAAAATTATTGGAGACAAATTCTCTGGTCTGACGAGACTTAAATTAATATGTTTGGATCTAATGAAAGAATTTATGAGAAGAGAAAAAGGTAATAGATATTAAAATAAACATCTTATACCTATGGTAAAACACGGTAAATGAAACATTAAAGTTTAGGGTTGTTTCTCATACAATAATGTAGGTAGATTGGAATTAATTAAAGGAAATATGATGCAATCATACATGCCAAGATTTTTAACAAGAATCCGAAGAATTAATCTAAAGGTTTAAGATTAAATAAGAAATTTGTCTTACAGCAAGATAATGATCCTGGGCACACTACAAAAACTACAGATGATTTGTTTGAAAAAATAATCTCAATGTTTTAGATTAACCTTTTAAAATCCAGATCTTAATTCGGTTGAAGATTACTGGTAATATTTAAAATTACGTGTTCATGAAATATTACCAAAATATGTCAAAGATTTAGAAGAAATAACAAAAGAGGAATAATATAAAACACCAGTCCAGGTTTGTCAAACTTATATTGACTCTACGAAAAGAAGATTCGAAGCAATTTTTAGATCTAAAGATTATCATTGTAAATATAAAATTTTGAGTTGTAATTTTTTTAACTAGTTGTTTATAATTTTCATAAGTTTATTAACCATAAATAAACAGTTTTTTAAATAAAACATTTATTTATATAACTACATTACCAACACATATATAAAAGAAAATTGATTCTTAAGTAACATTTTAATTATCACTTTTCATTAGTTACGTTTTTTTACCACCACTATATATATTATAAAAAAGTAATATTTAAAAAATAAAAACATTTTACTATATCTATCTTAGATACATATAATAAAAATGAATAAAATTAATAGGTGGAATAGAAATTTAAAAAATAATGTGAAAATTATAAATTTTTAAATTTAATATAATGTATTTTCCTTTTTAGATTTATATAACCACTTAATTATTTTATGTATAGAATTTACTGAAATTTTACATGTTTTTTGAATTGTTTATAACCATTCATCAATGACAAATTCTTATATATATTTTATCTTGCGTTTATATACCTGTCTGTATTTTTAAGTAATACCATAGATTTTCAATGGGATTCATATCTGGGCTTGTGATGGTCAATTCAATGTTTCCAAATTATATTTATCAAAGAATTTATCTATTCAAACAATTTTATGCTTAGGATCGTTATCTCGTTGAAAAATATAATCATCACTTATACCTAATTTAACTAATGATTTGATTAATTTTTTTAATTTTAGTATTTAAAAATATAATTATACTATTTCTTATAATTTTTATTATTTCTACTCTTTTATAGGAGAAACATCCCTATAATTTATAAGATTATTGTTGTTAGATGAAGATATTGAAATTTCAAGGTAAATAATTATTACTTTTATTTATAAATAATTTATTTACAAACAAATAATTATGTTAGTATTTCAATATTAAAAAAATTAATAAATTAATAATTTTTTAAAGAGGCGTTTCTTTATATTTTACTATTATTATAATGTATGTGATATCCTTCCATTATTTAAAGAAATTACTTCTATTAATTTTAACAAAAATCTGTTTATCTATAGCATATAAGATTACAACATTTCTGTATTTATTAAGATTAACTACACTATATGGTACAAGAAACCTATCAAATAATTTAGAAGTGCCAGTATTTTTAACTAAAAACATTTCATATGCCTTAATTTTGGAATTTTTATTTTTGTTATAATTAGGAATTGCTTTCTACTTAAGTATATTTAGTTCAGTTCTAAAAATGTCGAAATTACTATATTTGTATGTATATTTTCATGATGAAAAACCTAGAAAGTGTAAAAAAAGTTATTTAAAGTCATTACAACTCTTTTAATTATATAATAGAAAGAATTTGATTTTTCTATACATATACTATCTGTTATCATTCTATTAATTCTTTATGTTATTGAATTTCTTTTGGGATAATAAATAGAACTAAACAGTTTTTCACTTTGTATTTTTTACATAGTGTTAGAATTGGATTTCCAACAAACTATTTTCCTTGATCATATAATAAGACTTTATGAGAGTTATACATTTTAAACCAACTTTCTATTACATAAAAACATTTTAAATGTAATTTTATCAACAACATGTAGGCTGACCAATCTTGTGTGTATCATTTAACGTGAAAACATAGATTTTACCCCGCTTTTAGTGAACTCTTCAAATTTATAGGATCAAATCAAGCCAGTATTCACTACAACATAATTTTTTTCTGACTTAGCTGACATTTGCTGGATTTTTTACATATATAATCCTTTGATACCTAGCATTTAATAGATTTTTTTGTGAATTCTTCTATTTTTTCCTTTATAAATTACCATAATAGCATCCTTTGATAGTATTATAGAGTTTAGTAGAACCAATGTGTATGAGTAGATTATGAATTTTAGCAAAAAAATAATTTATTGTTTCTTGTGGTATGAAGATTCTATTGTCTGTTGTAATAATTATATCATCTTCATTAAAAATTTAAATTTGTAACTCTTTAATTTAATACTGTTTTCATTAAGTGTTACTGCCATGAAATTACATCGTCAATAGAGATTGAACTTTCAGGGTACTTGGTTAATCTATAGAATAAATCATGAAGCTTTTTAGATAAAACAAATCTTAACATAAAGTCTACTGCATTATTTTTACAACACTCTATATGTTTGAAAGTTAGATTGAACCCAGAAAGTAATAATTTCAATTCGTAATACGTTGATTAGAAGGATATTCGGATCAACTCCCTTTTTTCTCATGTGGGGAAAAAATGGACCGTTAAAATATTAGAAAAATACAATAAAATATTTTTTTAAAACATTTTTTAAACCCATGAATCATTGGTATAGCAGAGTTTTAGAACCGCTTTTGTGTGGGCCGACTGAAAATTTGATAGAGTTTCTTCGCACCAAGGGCTTATTGAAGAGGTACGTGAAGTGTATATGTACGTGAAGTGTATATCTTATCTTCTCAACAAGATATGGAAACTAGACCATACTCTAGAAATAGAGATGGAGTGGCATTTAGGTGTTTTAACAATAGGTGTAT